TATTAGTTGGGAAAGCCCGATACTCAGTTTTTGACGTAAAAGCATTTTATTTCAACTATTTCAGGGCCGACAATGGATGTAGTTGGGAGTTACGTAGCTAATGAAAAATAGGCAGGGGTGGATATTTTTCTCACTCTATATCTCATTCTCATTCTCTCCTATAGTTTAAATGATCGAGTTAACACTTTATTACCAAAATAATACAGTTAGATATCTTTTACAAGATTTTACGCATACGATATTAATGCCAAGGAATGACTTTGAACTAGATTTCATTGCTTCAAAAAGTTTTCATAAAATGATTTTACTAATCACAATAAAGAACTGTTTTAATTAAACACAGATGGTTTTAATCTAATTAAAGTAGACTTGCCCTCATTTTTTCGCAGACATACATACCTAATTAAAATTAGTCAAAAACTAAATCCTACAAATCTTTGTCATGTGTTGGAGTTATAAATAAAAAAAAATAGTCTATGTCTGGTTCATCTCTATGCTCTATTTGGCGGGCTTTTTTCTGTCATTTTGACAATTAGGTCAAGGAAGGAGGTTGTCATCTAGCGTGACATGAAACATCTGACATTTCCTTTATTACACGTTTCGAATAAGAATGGAAGGTAAGTAATAAATCTGGATTTTTGTGAGAAATGAACTAGAGCGAAAAATTGTCCGCCCTTTTGTCGAAAAATGACATATCTTGATAAAGGCGTGAGTGTGTAGTCATGTGTATTTGTCTGTGTTACAATAGAAATGTTTTAGGTCAAAATCAAACAATGTTGACTTATCTAATCAAAATATCGTTAATTTCGATAAAAATCTGTGTCTTAGTCGAAAATGACCCATAATTGTTCGTGTTTGTACCTACGCAATCTTGTTCATGTTATAGGACAAGGCCAATTAAGTTATACAAATTAATAACATTACACACGTATTAAGAACAACAACTTGCGTTATTTTGCGTTAATTAGAACAACATGGCGACTAATTGGACTTGTTTTACATTCTCAGTATTAATTTTTTACGTGACAAACGTATTTTAGAAGTCAATTATTTTGATTTCAACCTTGTTTAGCATCAGTTAGAGTTTTTTTTATTAATTTGCCTTACTACCTGGATGTTATAGGTACTTAATAAAGATGTAGTGTTACGGTATTTCTCCCACCACATTCCTATTTGAGAATTTAAAACCATTGAAGATTAAGAAATTCGACTCGTATATTTACATGAACATGGGATTTCCGCAGTAGCCATAATATATTATTAATAAACTGTACAATATAAAGGCGACACTTCTCAGAATATCTAAATCTACATTCGCTGAATGTCTTCCGTGAAAGTTTCTTACAAAAAGGAAAAATCACCTCTATTTCCTAGTTGCTAAGGATCACTAAGCATCCAGCTAAATATGGAATAGGTATAAAACGAATGTTTACTTTATTTTACTTAGAAATGAGTAAGTAATGTCAATAATAAATTGTTAGGCGTACTTGCAAGGATATGGTGGTTACTTTGGCATCTTTTGATCAAGATACATTTATTCAATTAAACTATGGAGATTCTTACTGATGACTGCCTCGTTGGCCGAGTGGTCGCAAGTGCGACTGCCGGGCAAGGGGTCTCGGGTTCGATTCCCGGATCGGGCAAAGTATTACTTGGTTTTAAAAAAATCTCAGTGGTAGCACGGAGTCTGGAATTGTGCCCGGTATATGACAATAGACTCACCCCCTATTACATGGGACTCATAACAAAAATAGTGAAAAGTGGGTGTTAGTTCTGTGTGCACCTCTGCCTACCACTTCGGGGATAAAAGGCGTGATGTTATGTTATGTTAGGGAGATTCGTACTTGAAATAAATACTAAAACACTAAAATGTTTCGATTTTACTTCGCAGTAATCGTGAAATTGTATTTTCAATAAATGCCTCAGACACTCGCTAACAGTTAACCATTGGATGGTAAAGAAAAATATAGCATGCAAAGAAAACTTTTTGTAAACATTATTATATGGTATTCCTTTATAATTTATTTTATACATATCACTCCATTACTCTGGTAGTTCCAGTAGAAATTCTTTGTCTCAAACACTCCACTTTCTTCAACAAATCAAGGAAGTTATAAACAATATTCAACATTTAATACGATGAACACGAAATAAGGCGACTAACTTCATTCGCATGCCAAGGACGGATTATTTTAGAGTTCAAACGAAATGTCATATAGACCTATAGTCATAACATATAGACATATATGTATATGATGCATAAAAGCGACTTCAACTATATCTAAGAAACTGATTAACATGAAAATTAATGGTCAGAGTGAGACATAAATACACGTCCACACGTGACATATACACTTAAGGCCACAAATATCACACCATCCCAAAAATATATCATTTTATTAATTTATTACGCTTATTGTGAATGAGTGACGTTCTTTTGAGCCTTCATTGTTAAAGACCATCTCATCAAGCTACCCGAAACTGAGAAATCACTTTTATGGATAATCAACTTTATTCCTAAGATGTATAAGTTGAAATTTTACTGGAAAATGTGCGCTGGAGTTTGTGTCTTACGTTGATATTGTCAGAATTTTGACGTGTTGTGCGTATCTGAGTGTGTGAGTGGGAGTGTGACACCTTTTATTATTAAAACAGTTGTTAAGTTGAAGTGAAGTGAGTTGTGATTTCCGGATAACGTACAAACGCACATACTTTCATATTTAAGTGTTTATAATGTCTGTTGTTCGAATTGTAACAAAGCCTATTCTTTGCGGTTACAGTTTATCATTCGCTTTCAACGATTAATCTCTCAAATATAATATTATTTAAAACAGAAATGCTTTCTTGGAATACAGAAGTAAACACTTAGGAAATGCCAGGCATATCAGAATTTAAAATATGACCAACAATAATGTATTATAATTTTAAGTATTTGTTGTAAATTGTACTTTAACCCTATCGAGACGATCGAGATATCTATTTTTTTTTAAACGTTGCCCCACACTAGGATTTTCTCCTGTGTCGTGGGTGCGTTTACAAACATACAAGTTCACATACACATGACACCCAGACCCGGAACAACAATCTGTGGATCACACAAAAGAGTTGTTCGTACGGGAATCGAACCCGCGACACGTTGCGCGGCAGCCAGTTGCCCAGCCACCGCGCCAACCGTGCAGTCAATATGAATCTTTTGTTTCTTTAACTCGTACATTAAGCTATAAATAATTACACATAAACAATAATCCTGACCCAAAGAGCACGCGACACGGACAGCTGTGTTGTTCATGGAATTATGTCCATAATTAAGAAAGCAGCAGATATGTTAATTCCGTGACAGCTGTGGTTCCGCCTTTGATCACGTGGGTCAGTAGTTTCCGTTACTTGCACGCTTCGCTTGCGGAGGTGCGGGCGTAAGATACCATTATCAAGGGTTGAAGTGATCATTATGCTTCAATTAATTTTAATATACGTTCGAGTTTTCTTAACATTTCAAAGAAATGGGTTGGATTGTGGGTTTTTCCACAAAAATGTTCATTTTAACATTTAGAGGTTATACTAAGCGATTACCGAAGCTTAGTTGAAAAACATACTGACGTACACAACACATTTGACGTCACAAAACCATATAACGAACCACACAAACGAATTAATTCCATAATTAAGACGCTGACAACCCTAAACTGTCATTCGAAATTTGAACAATGAAGCCAGGTGCGCACGCGCTTATGGCGCGCGACAGGAAGTCGATAGTTTATCTTGAAGATAACCGACACATCTCTAGAATTCATAATGTGTTACTTATACGGGTATCTCTATTAGTAATTAAGATTAGGCACAGGCTTAATTGGGATTAGGATATCGGTTGGTTTATAATGTGGCTGGTGGGGACTGTAATTGCAATTTAATGGCGGGAGAGTTGTATTGGTTAGTTAGCTTTACAAAATGATTCACGACTTTAAATACTGACTTTTAGAGAATAATCCATTAATACCACCATTGTATATTAAACAACAACCGTGGTGGCCCGGAGGTTTAAGATGCCCGCTTCTCATGCATGAGGGTGCGGGTTCAAAACCTAGCAACGGAAAGTACCAATGTGACTTTTTTCGAGTTATATGTACTTTCTAAGATTATCTAAACACCACTGAAGGAAAAAATCGTGAGGAAACTGGACGAGGAACTGGACTTATAATTACTAATTATAAGTTTGTAATCGCCAACCCGCATTGAGCAAGCGTGGTGATTAATGCTCAAACCTTCTCCGTAAGGATATTAAACACGTATTTCGTGAGAGAGTCTAATAAAATATAATAAAACAGAATATTCGAACACTTGCACTCTTGGACGCTTTCCTCCTTGCATATACACGGTTTTATTTAAATAGTATGATGCATAAATAAATCAGTTTGGATAAGCAAATAAAAAGTACTATGTATAAAAAGCTCTCTTACATAACAATAATCTAATAGTTCCCATTAACCTGTCGAAATATGAATATTTTATAAACACTGGGGTATTTTAGCGCCGGTAACGATATTTGTGTAGTCCGTGCCGTAAGCAAACAATATGGGTAGACAATAACAAAACAAAACAAAAACCGTTCCGTGTAAAACAATATTCCATTACCTCAGTGTTCAAAATATTTGCACTGCAGTGTAGACTCTGATAGGGTTGTCAGAACTAACAGTTTATAGTAAAAATATTAAAAACCTGGAATTTCATTTTCCTTTATATGTTTGCTATACATCAATAAATGTGTGAGTAAATTAAGTTTGGAAAAGAACTAAAATAGAAGTTTAAAGTGCTCACGAGATACAAAGATGGAGGCAAAATGCGAAGTCAGGATTGTTAGAGAATCCCTTATAAAAATTTGGATAAGAATACTTAATTCACCTCAACAGCTTAGCTGTAATTACAATCCGTGTACTATACTTTCCTTATTCCACTATGGAGTCTAATTTTAAACTGGTCAAATTTTTTAATGTTTTAATTTAGTTTTAGATGCGTTTGTCAGCCCTAGCACACGTGCAGACGGTACACTGTTGGCCAGCAAAAAGGTACACTTTGAGAGAAGTGTACGTCATTGATCGGAGCGAGCTCCAAGGCCGCATACAAATAGAACCTTCCGCTGAAGCTTCCATCACATCACATGTGTTTGGCCTCACTATAAAAGGATTTTTCCGACCTCTTTTAGATATTGTCATAGTGAAGTTTCCTTGAGAAATTGAAGCTGAAGGTTTCTTGCAAGGCAAGTTGCCTTTGATTATTTTGTTGCAAACCTTTCATTACAAGAACCGATTGTCACTTGATTAATGTTTGCAAGTCTCTAATTTTAATAACTTCAAGTATTGTAAGTATAACATGTGTGTGTTGCTACCAAATAAAATAAATAGGTTTCGTAAAAAACTTTTTTCTGTAAAATACACTAAATGTATTTGAAAAATAATCTTCATTTAGAAATTATAATGATATCATGAACAGGTAAACCTTATAGATAAAACCTTATAGATAAAACCTACCTGACTAGGATGGTGTCGGTAGAGGTACAGCTTGGTCCCGTGCAGCACTGCCCACACTTGCTTCCAGGATCTGTCACTCGCGCGCTGTTGTAAGTAAAATACAACGTTTTTATTGAATTGGAAATAAGTTTTTTAGGGATGTAAAAAAAGGGTTTTAATTAACATAGGGCTAAGGAAAAACAAGACCACAATGCTCTCATCTCTGCTTATTCTTTTCCATTGGAGAATGCTTAAGGAACGAATTGTTTTTTTATGCAAAATGGCGTATTTGTGTAAATAGGATTTTTGTATTAAATTGAATTTTGTGTATAAGCCGTAGTTACACAGTTTGCATAGCACCATCTAATAAAAGTGTCTCTTTTTTAAATTTTTTAGCAAAAGATTTGTTAATAAAACAATAAATCCAATATTAAGTCTATAGTTACGGGATTCGAGTCCATTTATTCTGGCCAAGCGATATACAAAATTACAAACGAGGTTTCAGAGCACCTTTACTAGGAAGTGCAATAATTAAGATACCGAGGTCTATAATGGCGGGAGATAGGCTGCACTATTCTCTAAAGCCTCTAAAGGCACATTTCTGATAACTTCCATTAAGGTTAGTTTAGAAAATAGAGCTTGCTTTTTGAAGTAGATACTGATGTTTCATTTTACATAATTATACATATAGGTGCTGTGGAAAATGACTATACGTCCATTTTGGCATGGACTTATTAAATTATTATTTGGAAAATTGCGTTCAAAATAATGCATTATAGGTGCGGGACTGGCGAAATATGAAAATTGCCGGAAATCTTTTACGGAAGTATTAATAAATAATCATTTGCTTCTTGTTGTATACCGATAATTAGGACTAATTCATGTTCAATTAGGATTTAAGTCATTGAATAGGTACTTCTCTAACATAGTACTCTAAACCGTCAAAATTACTTATTCAATTTTTAAATCTATTGCTAAACAACAAGGTTGAAAATCAAATTAAGGGTCTAGCTTCAATTGACAGTATATACCAACCTTGCCATTACTGACCACCATTTTGATCTGCACATTGCCCTGCACGTCTCCTTCTGTCGCTTCTCCGTCTACTGCATTCTCTGCTATTTCTTCTTCTCCCTTCTTCGTAGTGCTAAATAACAAAACTCAGTGTTAGTATGAAAATTCTAGAAAAACCCTGACAAGAACTTGGCTACCAGATGCAATCATATCGTATGACTTACGAATGTAACTGTTTGACGACAAAACTCAATTAGTTTTAAGCCATGTTAGTGGGCCTTTAGGCAACCGATGCGACCCGACAAGTGTAACGCATGTTGTCTATGACTATGGGCTCATAATGTGGTTCGAAACTAGTCGAATTATTCGTCAAACAGTTACACAAGTAAACTGCACAAAATATTTAACTTAGGCCCGAATACTAAAAGACTTTTTAAGTTGTACTTAAATATTGTGTCATCTCTGTCATTTTCAATGATTTTTTAGTGACAGAATAGTTAAGCGCGACTTAAAATTGAGTATCCTTTTAGTATTCGGGCGGCTTACTAGTAGATATACAAAAAAAGTAAATGGTTAACTAAAATAGCGGGTTACTCACGTGAATATACATACTGAGAAAAGCTGTACTAGTTTCGAACCACAGAGGGGTTCTTCCTCATGTGCAGCTTGCGCGGTCGGGGCAATGTCACGCAACAGACATCGCCGCCTCTGTGGTTCGAAACTAGTAGAGCTTTTCTCAGTATATTCACGTGAGTAACCCGCTATTTTAATTAATTTAGTATGTCTCACGATAGTTATTATAAAAACAAAGATAATTCCATTAAAGTTCTTTTGTTTTAATTTCCATTACATTTTACAATGAATCCTGCTAAAAGCATATACATATTTATAGTGATACGACTTTAGCAGATAACAAACTTCTTCTAGCAATTATAGTTCTACTTTTGTTCTACGACTTCTTTTGCCTTAAACACAACTTGAAAATCACATTGTACCAACCATATATTGTAGCAAATAGCTCCTTTATATACTTACCTACATTACATATACATAAAGAAACCTATAGTAAACAGAATAAACAACGAAAAAATAACACAAACATGCCGTATATACATTCAGACATTAAATATTACGTACGTCGTACATGGGGCAACATTGATTTTTTACATCGAGCATGCAACACAATCAAATTTAGAAAAACGTATCTCATGCATTCTCCAGTTATTTTTGAAACAATATCGACGTCCGTTCCACCGAATACGATATTTACAAAGCTCTCCCCAAACAAGTTAATTTAAAATCGATTTGCGGATGATCGTTTTTAAAAATGTTGGTAAATTAACTTCGTTATTGTATGACGTCATTTACTCGTGATATTCAGTACTTACCGATGTATTTAATTATGAACAAGCAGTGCAATGCAATTTTAATCCAATACTTTACAATAAAACATCGAAAATTAAGTCTCATTTTAATTTGGCTACTAGCGGCGCTATCTATGAACGCATTCGTGTAACTATTTGCAAACATTGCAAAGCGCCATCTATTGGTGGGACGACGTACCGCGCGGGGAGGACAGCTTGCGGGTCGAATATTCGCAGCAGCGGAGTTATGTCATCCGTGAACCGAGGGGGGCGCCATTTTCGCAGTCTGCGTTTTGAACCCAATCACATACCCCGTTAGTACAATTTCACATTACCAATTGAACCCACTCTATGTTAGGTACATAATTATTGTTACTTACTATTCGCTACAAACAGTTCGTAGCAACAATCGTCTATCTACAACATTTCTATGACAGTGAGAGTAAGACAAGGTATAACAATTGGTGCTAATCACAAATGTTATCTGACAAGTATAAACGATAGTTAACTACTGGGTACTACTGGACACTGGACGGTCTAATACAAGACAACAATGTTTCATTTGTGTATGTCACTTCACAAAATCTGTTCAAAGTGAAACAGCAACATAATATTGTTCAAGAACAAAAGCTTTTGGTGACAAAACAAATGAGAGGTTTCTATGTATATTTTTGAAATGAAAGTAATTATAACTAGCAGGATATTGATTAGAGTACATACCCTCTGAGGCCTTGTGGGTCGTTCTCTGGTTCCACGTCACTGTCCAGGTGCAATCGGTCTCCCCATGTAGCTTTCAGGTAGGAAACCCTTCGCATGGCACGTTCTTCTTCTGCTTGAAAGGGAAATATAATTGTTAGTCCAAGTTACATTCAAATTTAAGCTTAGTGGCCATCGAAATAAGGTCTGTTCTCTAATGAATAAATGGTTAATTGGATACTGACCACCAAGTTGAGCATCTTTCTTTTGTCTTCTTGTCACCAAATCATCGGCAAAACCTGTGCAAACAAAATATTTAATAAGAGGAGGTTCTAGATATGTGGGCACCATGTATATTAGTATATTAGACATCGAATGATCACGACGGTTAGTTCTGCATTAGTAGCACACCTAAAAGCACACAGCATTCCTTGGAAACGTTTAGTAGAGAAGACAGGTTTAGTCCGAATCGCCTCCTCCCTCGTCTCAAAACAATGACAGTAGACACCGACACTGTTTTGAAGCCTGAATGGATGACCATTACATGAACGTGGTTGTTAATCGAAAATGTTAGTAATCGAGTTGAAAATAAAATCACATTATTGCTGATTATCGCGATGCATTACGGCATTAAAATAACAGGCAATTCCGGCAGCAGTAACGCCTCAAGTTTGTAGAAGAAACTACAAACTTAAGACGTCAACAAAGCCACAGATTGATTAGCACACAGATCCTCGACTTCCAGAATTCGTCAACCAGGTATACAGGTGTTTGTGTAACATGGAGTAGAACAAGGTGCTGGGTAACGAACAGGGCATCAAGTATCTGTGGAGTATCTGTGACGGTCTAAGTTGCACATGCAGCGCGACGTCGCAGACGGCAGGCAGGTTAGGGAGGGGACGAGAGCATTCCGAAAAGACGAGGCGTGTCTCGCGGGACCTGAGTCGGCGGGCGTGCTAGGCGTCGGCGACGGCGAGGTGGCGGCCGAGGCCGAGGAGTCGGGCGCGGGCGGCGCCAGGCTGAGCTGCGTGGGGCGCGCGCGGCCGTCGCCGTTGACGGCGGCCAGCGACACGCGGTTCATCGCCTCCATCTGTTCCTTGTTCAGGCCCATTCGTCGCTTCGCGTGACTGCCATCTTGGGGCGGAACGGTGCCATTAGACGCGTGCGAAGCTGTGTAAGTGTGTGTGTGGCCTAGCCTTCTCATTGGTCAGCGTTGGCTTCAAGCGATTGTTCCGCAGTTTTATTCGAATGCGCGTTTTATTTTAAAAACACGATTTCATTCCTTTCTTATTTAAAGACTAGTAAAGTTTTAAAGAACAGAATAAAAGAGCAATACGATTGAAAGTGTTTTTATAAGATAAAAAGTTGAAAACAGAATGAATCAAGTTACAAGTATGTAAGTTATAGATTGTATGATTGCATTCAAATAAAAGATATTGTGAATAAGCGGTCGCCAACCAATAAGCCCAAAGCTAAAGACTAGAGAATCGCAACTTGTTTAAAAACATAAGTGTCATGAGTGTACTGTATGTATGTGATAAAACATTGTGATGTGAGCGGAAAGTTCATAAACGTACACCTAACATTAACGTTTTAACAAAATAAAGAAATCGCATTTTTTTTATGGAATAGGAGGAAAACGAGCAAACGGATCACCTGATGGTAAGCGATCAGCGCCGCCCATGGACACCCGCAACACCAGAGGAGTTACAGGTGCGTTGCCGGCCTTTTAAAAAGGAATATGGTCTTTTCTTGAAGGTTTGAAGGCCGCATTGGGGGATTATGGCCCCTCATGTTACTTGAAACCAGTCGAGTAAACTTGTCTTTGTTTAAAATAATTAGTTTTAGTGAATAATGTAACAGCACAAAAACATAGACCGACTTTTTAGTTGTTAAGACTAGCTTTTGTATGAAAAATGAGATTAAGTAGCCAATGAAATCCATAAAAAAATAATGGTCTATGAAACTTTCCGCTCCTTATACGCACTATAGTGAATGTGTAGTGATGTCAACTCCTACTAGTGATGTGTTTAAGTGAGGATATCGACAAATATGTTACCTGTGGCATGATGTCTTCTAATGGGTAATCCATCACTTCCGGTACTATTCGACCTTGTTCGCATTTGAACCTTTTCTGTTTCTGCTGTGAAAAAGAAATAATTACTTAGATGTGAACAGTAGATTACATTCTTATTAATAGGATAAGAAACCTTAACTTCGAGTAACAAAGTTCAATTTCGAATGGTGTTCATGAGACTGGATAGATAATTTTGAAATATTTTTAGTCCTAGATTCAGAATAGGAAACTTAAACAACAAACAATAAGGTTTATTTTGCTTTAATGTTGCAGTTACTTGGCCTTCTAAAACAATTTGTCATTGGAAAATGAGTTTTAGTATCAAATGAATAGAGCTGTTTTCGTACCGGGCACATATCCGTCTGGCGGTGGGCAATGTAAGTGTTTGCTGCCGGTGATCATCAGCTGATTGCCTGATAAGCTGCCGCCTAGTGGTGACTCGTGTTCTAATTCTGGAAGAAAAAAAAACGAATTTTACTGTTAGGCACTATAATAGATGTAGAATGCATTGCCAAATATCGGACGCAATTGAAACACCAACAATCCATTAAAATTTATAACCTGGCTCGACTGAACTAAAGTAGTTTTGATAACTAAGTAAACAATGAATTAGTTTAAAAGTTAGGACATTTTGAGACATCTACGGAGTTTATCTCAAAGGTTAAAACTAAGTTCTGTAAACACTGATATGTCTGGAAAATAAATTAACTTCCTTTTCTAAAAGGAACATTATGCACTAAAATAAAATAGGACGTTTACCTTGAGGCTGCACATCCAAGGACCGTGCTTCTCTCCTAGCAGCCCTGGTCTCGAACTCCTTCCTCCGCAGCGCGACGCTGGGTTCCAGGCGCGTGGTGCTGAGCCGCGCGAGCTCACTGCGCGCCACCTCGCGCCGCGACCAGCCGCCGCGGGCTTCTTCTAGCTGCCGCGTCCGAGCTGTCACTAGCTGCAGCTCGGGGACTGGGTATCTGGAAAATAAATGTGTGATTAAAGTCAGTTGGTGGTGATCTTGTAATAATATCGTAGATTAAGAAGTAAAAGAAGCTTATTTATTACTAGCTTTTACCCGCGGCTTCGCTCGCGTCACAAAAGGATAAAAAGCCAATGTGACATATACGAATACATATCTATACCAATAATTTCGTTTTCCCTCGAGAACATCAAATTTTTCCGGGATAAAAAGTACCCTATTATTTAATCCAGATTTAACTTCACGTCTGCAAAATTTCAAAGCAATCGGTTTAGTAGTTACGGCGTTAAAGTGGAACAAACAAACTCACTTTCCGATTTATAATATAAGTAAGTGTAAACCATTTTGAATATTAAAACTACAAATAAACTTTTTGGGTTACGGGAATCAACCCCGAGCGACCTTTGTCTCTGGCCAAGCTAAATAACTAAATAAAAAACTTACTTGTTATCTTGGTTAGGGTCATCTTTGATTTCCGTGGCTCCATTGCTGACAGTTCCCACATTCGTGCTCTGGATGCTGGGCGCCGTCTCCTGTATCTTCGATAGCGTCGACACGAACTGACTCTTGTCCTGTTTCTGTTTGTTCTTGTCATTTTGAGATCCATTCACTTCACCATAACCGCTATAAGTGCCACTGTCGACACTTGCGGAACATTCTTCTTTTCTGTCCTGGTTCTGTGGTGGAACTTGAGGGGGTGGTGACGCAGCGAGGGGGGGAGACGCCGCAGGCGGTGGCCACGCTGGCTTCTGCAGTTTCTGAGGCCTGGCGTAGAACTCTTTCTGCTTAATAGGAGGTGGGGCATCGGGTGTGACCCACCCGGTGGGCTGACTTGGCCGTCGAAGGAACGCCTCCTTCTGTTCAAGACTTTTTCGTATTCGCGATAGGATTATCGAGTCGTCCAGCTCCCGCCCTGTCAGGGTAGAGTTCGAGTCGAAGGATCCCAGGCTGTCTTTGCTCTCTGTCGCCGAGGATGGCAGTGAAGTATCCGACTCCCGTCTGCTGCGAAAAGGATGCGTTTATAACATAATTATTTGTATGACAAATTCCTCTATTTCTTCAGATCTTCCAGGACTTTATTGACTTTGAAAATAAGTATCAAAATGATCTTACCCATCGTGCATTAGATATTGTGGTGGTCCAGGTAGACGCGTGGCGTCGTACCTAGAGGGTGCCAAGGACGCCACACTGGCGTACTCCGGGTCTTCGCGATGTCGAGCTGGTGCCTGAGGAGCCGGCAACGCAGCCCTAGGCCTCCGGTAGGCGTCGAACAGCCGCGACTCGTGTTCTGTTACTGGCGCCGGCATGTCTAGCGGGCGCTGGTTTGTTTCTGGGTTATAAGCTGCTTCGCTGAAATACTGCAAAAAGGAACAAAGTTAGTAAATGATACAGTAAGGTAGCATGATAATCATTGTCTACTGTCTGAGTTTGACTAATCATTCGACTCGATCGTAATGAGGAAAAGACTAGACTCAATAAATAATAATAGGTCGAACCTGAAGTGTCGTTGATAAGTGAAGTGTTCTCATAGAACTGATAGTGCAAGTATATTAAATTTACGCAATTTGTATTTGGAAGAGTACATTATACATTAACCACTCACCCTTTGCAATAAATCGTGGTCCCTGGGCACAACAGTCAGCCTTAATATTCTGGGTTCCCGTTGCGCCAGTTGCACGACCCTCGCGTACGGCGCCCGGGACCGGCCGCAAGCGACCGGCTCGCCGTTGACGGCTAGCACCCGGTCGCCGGCGCGCAATCCGGCAGCTGCCGCCGGCCCGCCCGGCCTCACCGACCTTACGAAGATCGTGTCCATTGGCGCACCCACCGCGCCCACCGCCAGGTGGCGCGCATCTTCGTATAGATCCTGGAATAACAAATAAGGATCTTCATCATAATGCTAAACAAAGGCTCGAACATGCAACAATAAAGGAAATTAGAGAAAGTTAGAACGACAAAGTTTCATTAGTTGGAAACAGACATGCGAAAATAAGTTGAAGGTAGAAATAGTAAAAACGCGTTTGAAGTAATGAGAACAAATCTCATTTTGAATTGAACGAAAATTGGCGCATGTTCCCTACGTCGTACTAGTTTACTACTTGTACCACTGTACTTGTACATCTTCAGTTCATGTCATGTCGCATATTCATGTATAATCTTTGAAGTGGTTGCCTTATCTTGATATCCACTACGGAATCACAAGTGCGGTTGATTTGCGCATGCAATATTATCGTAAAGCATGCAGAAAACGTATTTTTTAGTTAACAGTCAGACAGGATAGGACTTGAATGGATAAAATAAATAAAAAAGATTTACTCACACCCACCTGTAACGAGTCCGGCGGATACACTACAAGATGTCTGAGCGTAAAGCCGAAGCCGTGTCGCGCGTCGGGGCGCTGGATGACGATGGTGCGCGGAGCCGACGCGTGCGCAGCTGGTGGCGCGGGCGCAGCAGTCGGAGGCGGCAGCGCCAGTGGCGCCTGCGCTAACGGTTGGGGCTGGAAAAAAGAAAAATAAACATTAAAAAGAGGTGTCAATTGAGAAAAAGCAAGTTTTCGGTTAACCCGTCGTGTGTCTAAACGTGGATCCACGCGAGACACAATGTATTTTCTATTATGTCTCATATCGGTGCATTCAAGCGGTAAAAGGGGTTTAAGTCGTAACAGATGATATACATAGAAATTGAGAAAGATAATACCTCTAAGATCCTTTGAAAACATAACTAAGGATAAGTAACATTATAGATAAAATTGAAGGTAGATGCGCAGACAAATTTATCAAAACAACATTCCTCTAGCGCTACACATAATCAATGCTTTTTCACCCTATTATCTGTAGATATAGTCATCATTCACCTCAAACGCTTAGGTAACCAAAAAGCAGGAGCTTACCGCAACAATATTCATAATTCATGCTATTAGGGACGCGTTCCTGGCTCAACAGCCTCTATATGCACTATGCAGCATTCAGACGTTCGTTAGCTGCATTTGATGACAACCTACACCTCGTTACCGACACCACTACTATGATAATCACGGGGGAAATGATGCAAATCCCTAGTGAAACCAACGTCTAACTGATTATATTGTGAATTTTCAACGTAAATCAGGCTTTAGTTAGCAGTTAGTAAGTTTGCTTAAGGTTTGTGCAAGTGTGGTAGTTAGTGTCGTGGATAAAGGAATTAGATACTTTTCTTATACTCTGTCGTTTCTTTGTGTTTTTTTTTCTATATCCATATAAATAATATGTGTATTTATTTGTTCTTTTCTTTTTTAATTTTGTATTTTAATAATAATAAGTATCTGTGTGCGTGCTTACTGTCGAATAAATGAAGTTTCTTTCTTTCTTAATTAAACATAAATTATTTCGACTGTTCAATGCAATGAAATTTTAAAAAATCGTATATGTTTTATGACCAACTCAATTTTAGTAATCTGACTGAGTTTGACGCTAAAAAAACGTGACGTGACAATACACAATTTCGTACAAAATTCATAAAAAACTGTCGTTTTTGACAGTTCGAAAATAGTATTGAATTTGACTAGTTGGAAAGTACCCAAGTAGTGGAAGTTATTGGGCAGGGGTGGTGATTATTTGATTGTCATTTTTAAACCGACAAAAAGAAAAAAAGGAGGTTCTCAGATTAAACTGTATATATGTGAAACCAGTGTGAAACAAGTGAATTTATTTCTGCAAATAGGCTACAAGGCAGCACTTTTACACGTCAATTTTATCAAGCGAACGATAAGACCGAACACACTTAGGAGAAGGTTTGTATTAACTAACCACTGACTTCAAAAAAGAGGGGACTGAATTCGGTTATTCTAAACGTTGTTTGTTTTTAAAGGAATTATTTAGTTTGGAGTTAAAGAGAGAATTAGCATATTAGTGATTTGTTTGAAATAAAAAACAGGCATTATTTTCAAAATATTGTCTTTGAAATCAATGCCAGACACACTACAACACTATCAAAAATGTTGCCGACTGGAAATACTTTGCTGTGCTAATTAGTGTTTCCATAACAAATAATAAAATAATAAAATATTCCATATAACAAATAATAAAATATTCCATATTAAACAGTCGAACACCGCGAGGACACCGGTAACCGCAACCTATTGTTCTTTAATTGTGTCTATAATGACGATACTCAAAGAATTAAAATGCCCTTGATAGATGACATTAAAAACAACAAATCTTAACCCTACAAAATGGTCAAAGCAATGTTCCAGTGTACGCCTCAACAAAATAATGAGATGTGACGTAAAAGTACACGTGTCGTATTGAGTCAGTGTAAGAAGCCTCGTCGCGCCTCGCGTGTCAAGTTACTCAGATTATCATGGATCGTGTGTACAGGATCACGAACCTGATTCCTGATGCACCTTCCTGATTTATTGAATCGGTTAATTGGTTATGTAGAAGGGTCTAGTTTATTTGCAATGCACTTTTGATAAGTTTAATTAAGCGCCAATGTGTAGCATGCTATTGGAGTCGTATGTTTATGTCCAGTAGTAGATAAAAAGGATGTGTCGTCCGACAGCCCTTAGACCTATGAGTATCGCGCGCGCCTCAAAGAGCCATCAGACCACCACAGATGGGGCCCAATAGGGCCGATGCCGATTCGGAGTCGCGGAGAACCTAACGGGTAACCGGGGCTCCGGCTCGACGTGCAGGAGAAGGAACGGGGTGGTTTTTAGTCAGTAAGAGTCTGACACTCCCTTCCGCCTCACCCAGGCGGGAGCAGTCATTCGATGATTTTCCCCCCTTAAAAAAAAAAAAAAAAAAAGACCTATGAGTATGTCGCGGAGAACCTAACGGGTTACTGGGGCTCCGGCTTGACGTGCAGGAGAAGGAAAGGGGTGGTTTTTAGTCAGTAAGAGTCTGGCATGCCCTCCCGCAGGCGGGAGCAGCCATTCGATGATATTACCCCCTTAAAAAAAAAGATCTATGGATATCCTATACCTACATAAGATGGTTTGCTATAGTCCCCACGTTTGGAAGGCGGGATACAGATCGGAATTAACAAGGTTCAGGCCTCTGAGATAGTGCTACTGAAAATAGGTTCTAGAAAATCCTGGGAAGTTAATTTGCTAAGCTACATAAGGACTTTCGTTAACTAATTAGACATTCTCGACCCCAAATTCGACTCTGTACTTAAGTTTAAGTAGTCTTATGTCTGAATCACTTGACCGCAGTTTGCGGTCTGTTTTAAATTATGGAAGACTAAAAAGAAGCCCCGTTTCTATGGTGTCGGGTATCAAGTAGGGGAGTCGTTATTACCAGATTGTTGTTACCCTTCCGGATTTGTTCAAAGACAAGAGCTGTCAAGTTGACGCGTAGATTTTAAATATACTTGATTACATTTAGTGGTTGAATTACGTTCCTAATAAAAGTTTTGATGAATGTTTTTTGTTTTTACCCATAGATCCCTAAGCGGTCACCGGTGACCGCTCTCCACGATGTAGGTACATTATAGACCTTATTTCCAATGCTTAGAGACTACTTTTGTATGAACAAATTTAGGGGATGAATTTCAACGGGTTTGAGTACCGTCATTATAGACACAATTAAAGAACAATAGGTTGCGGTCACCGGTGACCGCTCGGTGTTTGACAGTTTAATAATGATGGGCGATAAAATAGTTACTATTTTATTTACTTAGGTTAATGTCAGCAATGTAGGTAATCTGTTAAAAGAGGGACAGTTGGACAGCAGAGCATTCACAGTTTTAAAACTGTTTGCGGCCTGATAGCAGCCTAGAGCAATATCCTCTTACTACGACTGAACTAAAGTCACTCGAGTATTCATAAATTTCGTCTAGTCATCATTTAAATTTCAAGTACTACTAAGCAAAACTAAAACTATACATCTAAACAGATTAATCCTCATCAATAAACGTCACAGTAGAAACTTTCAAGTAGTCATTAACAGCCAGTCTCAATAACCTAGGTGTCAAAATTCTCTTATAAGGCAACGACTCCTAAAGGCAGAAATACATTACCGTGGCGTGGCGTGTCGTGAGGCACCAGAAGCGTATCGGTTTCATACATTTACTATGGTTAGAGAAGAGATACAATTGCGTATCGTGTTGTATGGTTCGCCAAATACTCGCATCCGATTGGTGGCCACGTCGCCACGTCACGCAACGGCAATGTATTTCTGCCTTAATTTCATTAGTCAGTTAGGGTCAAGGCCTTTGACCTTTGACGTAGGTCTGAATAGCCTAGGAAGGTCGGTGGCTGTGTGAGGAGTATTTAAGAGGTAGGTACGTCATTAATCACAGTGTGACGGGAGCCAGTAGACGGTAGAACATTAGCATATTGCAGGTCTGATGGAGATGACGACAGTGTGATTTAATTAGAGAAGTTTAGTTTTTTAAGTTTAGGTTTTTAAGTCTGAGATTCAATTGACGATAACAGGACGATAACAAAGAAATGATTAGTAGATGTCATATAGTGATTAACTAATGATATTTTTTATGAAAATTAGAAAAATATGACTTCATAGCACAGGTCACACAAGTTTTTTTTTGGATTTTCAAATTAAGACACAACATCACGCCTTTTATCCCCGAAGGCGTAGGCATAGGTGCACATTACGGCACTTAATACCACTGTGTACAGTTACATTGTAATGTACACCTAGTTTTCAATATTTATGTTATAAGTTCCATGTAATAGGGGTGCAGTAAGTAATAGGGGTCCCATGTAAGTTAAAACTATCGTTATATAATCTATTTATAAGCATGTATCTAAAAGTTAGATACTGTTTACGTAAACACACATTTTAAAGTCGGGATCAAGAATAGTAAAATGACGTTTATAGTTGCAGACGTGAAAGTGCCTACTACTAGAAGTAAGTAGGTGACTTAGTAAAACCATAAAACCTCTTAGATTCGATCACAAGAGACCCTTTCTACATGAATTAGCAATAATTATGTAAATCCCAGATAATTATGTTAAGTAATGTAACTGGAGAGCGCCATGTTATAGGTACAGATTGAGTTTTAATGCAAAATAAGGACTAACTATCTATAAGAGTAATGTTTTACGATTTTGCACTATTCTCAGACGTTTATATTTAGCTATCTTACTTTGTATTTACTTTCTCAGGTGTTAAAGAAAGAAAAAGCGTTGTCGACTTATGCCTTATAGTGTTTTATAGATACTTATTATGTAATAGAAAAATTTGGAATATGTGAACGAACGGTAATAAGGTTATACAATTAATTTTAAACAAGCAATTTTTTTTTCTAACTCAAATGCTTATTTTTATTTCTGTGGGCACCCCAAAATTAGAACAACGATTTTTTACCTGGCAACAAATGAGAGTTAACGTCAAAATTTCGCGGGAAAATGACAGAAAATACCTACACATTTTAAGTTCGTGTATTTTTAGGTGAAGAATATTATAACAAATTGTCTTTACGTCTATTTAATTGACAAATAGATTTAGCGACAAATTGGCGAGCATGAGACAGTTTGAAAAATGTCCAGCTATTTCAGTAAGCTGGATGTTTTTGGACGTGATCAATTTTATGACAAAATGGCCTAGATTTTTAGGTTATTCGAGAACAAAATAATAAAGCTTAAAATGTTTTACGAATAAACACTATTTGCAGTTAATTACAAACAAAAAATCTATCATAACATCATGCTCTTTATCCCCGAAGTGGTAGGCAGAGGTGCACATTACGGCATTTAATGCCACTGTACAGTAACATCCACTTTTCACGATTTATGTTATGAGTCCTATGTAATAGGGGTGAGCCTATTGCCTTATACCGGGCAAAATTCCAGATTCCGTGCTACTACTGAGAATTTTAATAAATAACTTAGTAATATAGCTAGCCGTCGCACTTGCGACCACTCGGTCACCAAGGCAGTCCAAAAAGTATACGTAGGTA